CAGCTGGCCCTGCGCTCTGGGCTGTCACCCTGCCAGGCTGGTTCACCATCTGTTTGCTGACATTACACAAGGAGAGTGTCCTGAGAGGCTGAGAAGTAAAGCTTGGTGCCCTGCCGTTTGTGAAGGTTCTCTAATGTCGGCAGAGTGATGGATGACACACACAGCAGCCAGACAAATATGTGCCCTGGGTCGCGGGGGCTAAAGCAGGGTGCTGTAGGCTCCTGAGCTGAGCTGCAATGGATGGCTTGAGAAAAGTAGGCCACTAGGGAAGTGGGTGGGAGGCCAGACATCTTGTCTTTTGTGGAGAATGGGGTTGGGGAGGTGTGTGCATTGATTGAAGTTTTTGTCTGTCCGTCTATCTGGCAGACAGGTCCTGGCCATTTGGTCCCCAGATGAGACAATTTCATTGGGACTTCCTCTCCACTTCTCCCTGGAGGAATGTTCCTTGTGGCAAACGGAACTGGAGGCGGAAAAGAGCTCTGGGCACTCCCTAGGTGGTAGTGCAAGGAGCTACCTACCACCCCAGCATCAGACAGACCACCCCCAGCAACCACCCTGCCTGGCTTACCTGCTGAGCACAGGTTCAGATAGTGGTGACAGTTGGGCATGGCTGACTTGATTTCACTCCAGAATCCACTTTATCAACAAAGGAATGGGAAAGATTATCTGGAGACCTCCACAGGGTGCAACCCCTAATGAACCCCCGTGTCCAATAAGCCACCCTGTCCTCAAATGGCTGTTGTCACTCCACTAAAGTGCAGCCTCCTACTCTGCCCCTGAGGACTTAAGAGGATAGGTCACGGCCAGCCTTGGCCAGAGGTGGGCCTGGCAAAGGCTTCAGAGTCACAAGATGTGTCCTGCCTCTGGGCAGTCCAGTGTTTTTGGCCTCTTAGCCCAGAGCCCCCTTTGAAAACAGGTAGTCCCAACCAGTCAGAGAAGCCAGCTGGGTCTCTAGACCATTACACTGTACACCAGAGACCCACAAAAAGAAAGGAATGGGCATGGGTTTGGCAATACAAGGGCAGCAGTCACCAACTACCCTAGAAGCCCCTCCTAGGCTGGGCTTCCAGGGAATTTGTGTGCCTTCTGAGCAAGGGCCTCTTCAAAAGACCCAGGCTTAGTACATCGACTGGGCACTAGGCAGGTCTGGAAAGAGTCCTGTCCTTTGCTTCCAATGGGGAAGTACAACTGGTCTATGACTCTAGTGGCCATGTTCTGGAAGGGATATGGGACTTCAGGGTGTGTCCCCAGTCTAGTTGGACAGGTTGAAAGTGACACACTTGATCAAACCTGGAGCCAGCACTGGCCTAGAAGCTTGCAGCTTCCCCAGGGCTCCTGAAGGGGAGCCTTCCAGTCTAATGGCTTTTCTGCGCCTGCGGGTGCTGTAGTGTCTTCACACAGGGCCTCAGGGGACCTGCTGTGTCCCGGCAGCCTCCCAGCTGATTCCCAGCTTCCCAGATGGAAAGGCTGTTACAGAATCCCAGGAATGTGCCTGGAGCTCAGAAAGAAAATTCCCAAAATAGCTTCTATAAATACTTAAGGGCAGGGGTGGGGAGGAATACTCACTTGGCCCACAGCTAGCCAAGAACTAAGTACTGCTTCCCAGGGTATGCTTCCCCGAAAGATGATAAAGCTGCTCCGAACTCCATGCCTTTCTGCTGTTTCTCTGCTCTAGGGTCCATCCCCGGGGCCCTGGACCAATGGGGGTGACATGATGCTCACAAGACACCCTATTCCAACCTGTAACCTCAGTAACTGGCAGCTTAACAGAAAACGTGGCTCCTAACCTGGAAATGCCCCCATACCCCACAATCTGTCTCCACACTGACTTGAGCAGACCTCAGCAAGGCAGGGCCCCTCCTCAGACCTGCTTTGGGGGCTCTTGTTGTCCTGAGCTACTGGAGAGGCAAGCTTGGTCCAGGAAGCCCTGAAGGCAGGGTCAGGTGTCCCTGGCTCTGTGTTCAGGTCCCTCCCACCTGGCTTCAGCTAAGCCACTCGCTGCCCAGCTTAGAGTAGAAAGGTGACAGAAAATGGCGCTGTCCCTCTTGTCCTGGAGTACAGGCCAGGGAGGGCACACAGCCCCACAGTGACCTAATGTGACCTGGGGGCTATGTCTACTGAGGCTTGCTGTCCTTGGGGAAAGCTTCCTGGGAGAGCAGAGTCCTGAAACATGGATGTGGGCAGGTGTCTGCCCTGAGAGCTGGGGAAAGAGGGACTAGAAACAGGGATTTCCGGAGACCTTGAACATAGGCCTCTCCCTCCCCAGAGGTGGCTGTGTTTCTAGCCCAAGTGTGCCTTGCAGCTATAGTGTTCTGTGGTCCCAGATAACTTGTCAATGGCTACCAAATCCCTGTGAATGGCCAGCCCGGTCGTGGTACCACAGTCAAGTATCATCAGAAGCTAAGGGCCTCTTCTCAGAGCTAGATCCCTCTGAGCACAGGAGGGAGAGGGGACTCAGTGAGGACATGTGGATGGAACTGTGTTCCCACCATCTCCCCAGAGACCTGTTCTCACGGCCAGCACCAGGCTGGGGACAGCAGGTGAGGCCTCGCATATTCCTGTGGTTGGGTCCCACCCAGTTGTCAGGCAGCAAACAGCACCAAGTTGCTACCAAACACAAATGCTGCTGGTGTCAGGGACAGGTGGCCACAGACCCTGTCATAGGCCCTGGGCCTCCAGACCTTAGCCTGACCCCAGCCTGGCCTGGTGTCTTCTTTCAGGGTCTAAGGTCAGTATGTGGGAACAGGAGGACATGAGCCAGATACACTGCACGTCCCCTCCTAACAGAGGACCCTGCTATCTCCCCACCTCTAAAGACATTGATGGGCCTTGGAGCGCCCCCGCCCCCAACCCCACCCCATGCTGCTCCTAGAGAGGCTGCCTGCCTGCCCTGTGGCTGGCTGTGTCTTTTCTAAATCCATCCTTCCAGAATTCTCAGTGGTCCTGTGAGGAAGGACTGTCCCATCCCCCAGTTGACAGATAGAAAAAGGGTGGTGACCGTTTGCTGGAGTCACAGTAGATGCCAGTGGCAGAGCTGGAATTCAACCCAGCCGGTGCTGCTGAGCCCTGGGCTTTTGTCCTGTCCCGAGACACACGCTCAGCCTGTGGACACAAATGTCTCCTTCCCACACACCCATACCTTTTCTTTTCCTCTCTTTGTCATCCGGGGATTGAGTTTAAGGCCTCCCACACACTAGGCAACGGTGTACCAGTGAGCTACATCCCCCCAGCCCTCTATCTCAGTATGGTCTCACCGAGTTGCCCAGGCTAGCCTAGAACTTATCCTCCTGCCTCAGCCTCCCAAGTGGCTGGGAGGACAGGAGTGCACCAGGCTTAGCTAGGGATCCAGGGGGTTTCAGACTCCTTTGTGGTAGGTCCCTTCTTGCTAGTAAAACTTGCTGCAGAAGAAGATGCCACCCCTGCTGACCACCTCCGGCATCTGCCACTCCCTGTGGTCAGCACCCACAGGCTTCCGACCTCCTGTTTTTGGTAGCCACCAGCTAGAATCTCTTCATCCCCTCTACCTTATGGGCCCTATTCCATTGTGAGCTACTCAAGGTCCCACCCTGGGCCATGTGGGCAGAATAGCCTGGCCTGGAGCACTGCTGGCCAGACAGACACTGCCCCTGGTTCTGATGACCCTGAGTCAGCATGCTGTGTGAGTCTGGTCAGGCCCAGAGCCCTTGGAGGCTGCGCCCTGCCCCCACCCACTCTTTACAGCTTGAGGTTCTTCGAGCCCAGCGCACGGAGTTGCTCCTTCCAGGTGTCTATGCTTAGGGTCACAGGAGGGTGCCATTGAGAAGTCACTTCTGCCTTCCCTGCTCTCTTGCCCGAGGCCCTCCAGCTGCCTCTGGAGACAGCCTCTTCCTAGTCTTCCTGAGTGCCATCTTTCTTGCCTAACTGGTCATGTTCCAAGCCCTCTTAGGACTTTATGAAGTCAGCCATGTTCATCTTATCTAGTGCGTCTCCATAGCAACCAAAGGCCTGACTCTGGGGAGCTTAGGGAGGAGGAAAATAATCCAGCTAAAAATGTACATGGCCGTTAGTGGGCGGACTGCAGAGAGGGGGCTTCAAGCACAGAGACAGCTCCCAGCACCCACCCTGGTCCCCTGCCCACCCAGGAAGTCAGAGTTGGAGGTTACCTTTGGAACAAGGGAAGGGCCGAGCATGTTGCGATGCCTTCAAAGTTTGGCTGAGAGATCAGTGCAGTGACACACAGTAGCCTTCCCGTGCCCCACCACCCTGTCCCTTGTCCCCAGTGTGTGTGGGGTGGGGAGGATTGCAAGGCTGTAGTTTCACTTCCCACCCCCTTTGGGAAGATTCCTGGTACTTCCTCTAGTTTTGGTTTAGTTGAGCTAAACTGCAAGGCCATGCTTCCCGCCTCCTAGCCCAGATAGGGTCTTACATCCCTCAGCAACTGCCATCCACCTGGACCCTCCTCTCCCTCCCGTGCCCCTCACCTGCCAGCATGGGCTCTGCCGGGTGCTTGGCTCTCAGGGCCCAGCAGTCCCCAGAGAAGTGCCCCCCTCTGTCATAACCTGATGCCTCAGTGCTCCTGGGGGTGCAGGGCAGGTCCGTGCTGCATGCATGCCCCTGGCCTGTTTCCTTGCACAGCCTTGCATCCACTTCAGCTGCACCATCCTAAGTAGCCATGCTGGGGTAGTTTTCATGAACTTCCCTCCATTCGTTGGAGAGAGAACTGAGGGCCCAGAGTCCCCCACATGGAACCACTGGAAAATCAGGTCTAGACTTGAGTCAGACCTGTCTCTTAAAGGGAAAGAGAATCTGGAGCCTACAGGGCTGAAGTAGGGCTTGGTTGGGGACAGGTAGGTTTTGCATGAATAAAGGGCATGGTCATTTGTCTGTGGCCAAGCCAGAGCCTTTCTGGCTTATGGCCAGGAGTGAGCTGCTGCTTCTGCTGCTGCTGCTGCTCTCTCTCTGGTTGCTAGGTTCCCCCTGCCCAGGTCTAGTTAAAACCCTGCCTTGTGCTTTGTTTCTAGGGTCTGATGCTGAGTCAATTGGGCCACAAGAGCCTGGCCCAGAAGGTGCTGCGGGATGCTGTGGAGAGACAGAGCACCTGCCATGAAGCATGGCAGGGCCTGGGTGAGGTGCTGCAGGACCAAGGCCAGAACGAGGCTGCCGTTGACTGCTTTCTCACTGCCCTGGAGCTGGAGTCCAGCAGCCCTGTGCTCCCCTTCTCCATCATCCCCAGAGAGCTGTGAGCCTCCGTGCACACAGCAGGCATAGGCAGGAGGCGGGGGTGGGGGCGTGGGCGTGGGCGGGGGTGGACAGCTGCACTCAGGGGTGGGGCCTCAGGGAATAGATGATCAGTGAACACTTCCATAGGCCGTGATGCCAGTTCTCCCCCCACCCCTACCCCCCACCCGCTGCGGGGCCAAGTAGGCCTGAGATCCCATCTAAAGCTGGACAAGATTTGCATCCAAAGCAAATGCCTTGCTCCCTGGAGGTTGACACTGTGGTGTTGCTGAGCATGGGGCCCCTTTAGAAAAATGGTGTGTTTGGACCCAAGCCCTACCCTCAGCTTCCCTGACAACCCCCGCCCCCCAGATTTCCTGGTTTTTGATGAACCAGTCTTGACTTGGTATACCATAGAAATGAACCCACTTGCTGCCTTCTCTCTGGCTGGGCCAGGCTTTACCTGGCCTTTCCTGGTGCCCTGGGAGACAGACAAACTGGCTTGAATCTAAGTGACTTTACATGACACGCTGGAGAACCACAGATTCACTTCCCCCATCCAATCAATATCAGGGCAGTGCAGGCTTGAAATCCGTTCTTGGGCCTTGCCCAGGACATCCACAGCTTGAGGTCCCAGAAACACAGGAAAGTGCGCTCCTGGGTTACACTGAATGAGTGTCGTTAGGTGCCTGGGTTGCCTCTGTAGGGAGGTTTCCTAAGAGCTACGTGTGCTTTCTCTGCTACCACGTGCCTTTGGGGATCACGTAAGGCCAGGCCTCCTAAATACAGTTCCTAAAGTCTTCCCTTTTCACTACTCCCATCTCTCTGGAAACATTACCAGCCAGTAGAGCTCTAGGATAGGCCTTGGAATACAAAGCAGGGTTCTGACCTAGCCACTTCTAGTACCTTGCGTACATATTCCCTACAGCACAGGTCCCGCTGGAGTGACATCAGCGTGACAATTTATAGGACTTACCCCAATACACATCATCCACACAGCCCAGTTTCACCCAGATTCCCCACAGAGGCTGTGGAGGGAGGGACGTGACCTAGCTCCCCTTGCTGTGTGCCCCTGTGCTAATTGTCAGGGTCCCAGCTGCTGGGCAGATGTCCTTCGATGGCTTGTCAGTCCACCACTCTGCTCTGGAACTTTAAAGTGTACAAAGGGGTGGGGGGCTGCCTGGTTTACCATCCTGACGGAGAAGACCGTTGGAGCCTGGCACCATCCTGTACTGCATGTCCCCTCATGTCCCCAGGAAGCTTGCATCTCCTGCCACAGCCCCAGGCCAGAGGGAGGATATCCAATCCTTGGTCTCTTGGTTGAAGGTCTCTATATGTGTGTATATAAGTATAGATATATGTGCTAGAGATCTATATTTTTTATGGAATTCTGTTAGAAAAATTAAAAAGCAAGCAGATACTACTGTTGGAATGGCTTGAAGAAATGACCAGTCCTGGCCGTGGAAAGACACCAAATGCTTTGTGAATAAGCATTCCCTCTCTGGGAATGGGGGACAAGGCCCAGTATCTGACAGCGACCTTGGAAACTGAATAAAAGACCCTTGAAGGGGAAACAGGACTGTCTGGGCAGTGTGTTCCTTTATCTGGCACGCAGCACAATGGAGGAGAGGGCTGGAGCTGGAGCCTGGGAGGGTGGAGAGGAGGGTGAGGAGGAGGAGAGAGGGTCTTGAGCTCCAATAGGAGAGCCCTGTCAGGTGAGCTGGGACAAGGGGCAGGGCTAGTGCCTGGGAGTGCTAGGAGCCAGAGGGGTCTAAGCCAGGGCTGGCCTGCCCACTGGGCCACATCCAGGTGGACCTGTCTGCTGAGAACCCACTGCAGTGCATCTGAAGTGATTGTGTCTCCGTAATTAGAATTAAATTATACAAATATAAGCTCTATTACAAAACGTTAGCCAGCTTTTCAAAGGATGATGTCAGTCCTCAGGGAAGTTCCATTTTATCATGACCCCAAGGGATTGCCTCCTGCACCCCAAGAATGTCGGGCACCCCCTCACCCCTCTACCTCTGCCACCCCATACTTCAAGGACGGCCATATGTGACTTCCCCAGAGCCCTCTGCTGCCCCAGGTTCCCCACTGCAGCCAGCCTCCATCCCTACCCTTGCCCACGTAACATGACATTGGTAGCCTAGGGAGGAAGGGCTTTTTGGGGAGCCCAACTGTTTGGGGCTTTTCTCCCCATTCAATTAGTGGTGGAGTTGCACACTGAACCCAGGCCCTTAAGAATGGCAAGCATGGAGCTGGAGAGATGGCTCTGAAGTTAAGAGCACTGACTGCTCTTCCAAAGGACCTGGGTTCAAGTCCCAGCTCCCACATGGCAGCTCACAACTGTAACTCCAGTTCCGAGGATCTGACACCCTCACACAGGCATACATGCAGGCAAAACACTAATGTTCATAAAAGATAAATAAATAAAAGAATGGCCAGCGTGTATGTGCCTTTTCACACTGAGCTACATCCCCAGCCCCCTCCCCACATCTCATGTAGCTCATGCTGGCCTGAAATCAGGATACTCCTGGTGCAAGGATAACAGGCATTCACCACTGTGCCCAGCCCCCAGGACCGGTTGCCTTAGCTCTTCCATCTTCAGGCAGCACACAAACTTTAGTGACATTTACTATATTGCTTGTTACACACCTGAGCCTTTGACTGTCTGCCCTTTAAGCCTGACATAGACACAATGGTGGCGTCCACCAGTCTAGGAGAGGGGCTAGAGGGAAGGGCGGAAGAGGCTCAGCCTTCTGCTTGAGGAAGTGTTTACAAGACATGGTTGGAGGGGTCAGGCAGTGGAGACTCACTGAATGCGGGCATTTTCTGACACCCCACCCCACCCCTGCCCCATTCCAGTCTACAGACTGTTTCACAAGCCCTCGGAGAAGAAAGCCAACTTCCTGTCTAAACCCACTGGGCCTGCATGAGGGCTTAAGTATGGGGACAAGACTTGGGCTGCCTGTGCTCCTTCACTCTGACCCTCTAACCCATCTGCCACTTTCTACGTCATACGCCCCCCCCCCCCACACACACACAGTGTCAATCTGTAGAAAAGAAAATGAATGGAATTTCAGCTGCCACTACTCCAACTCTTCGGGTGCCCAAGTGCTCATTGTTGTACAAGCACCCTGACCCAGGACTCAGATATCACCACCGTGCAAATACTTCCTGGCCTTGGGAAGCCTCCTGCTAAAGGAGCCTCCCATTTTCCCACCCTACCTGCATACTCTTCCTCCCCACTGCCTGAGCAGCCTGGAGGCCTGCCTCACAGTGCTGAGCTGAGGATCCTGGGGCTCTAGGGGGGTGCCTGGAAAGTCCCTGCTGTGCCCTGCTAGGGATGCTCTGGAGCTATCACCAAGTGCTTTGTGTTGTAAAGAAGACAGGTTCCCTGAAGGTAATGCCACAGTTGCTCCTGGGAGCCCGAGCAGGTACTTGGGACCAGACCTGGGACCCACCCTGAGAGAGACAGGACAGTGACACTGTAATTACCAACTGAGCTGGAACCTCTCTGTGTCCTCCACTGGCTGGGTGACCTTGAGCAAATTGCTTAACCTATCTGTACCTGTTTTCTCACCTGCAAAAATAGGGCCTGCTTTGTGGATTATTATGTAAGGACGTTTTTGAGGCCCCTGGACACCACCACAGTGGCCCTCAGTCCCACTGTCCCCTGCCCTACTCCTACAGCACCATGCCACAGAGCAGTCTGTTCTTGGGCAAGAGGATCTGCTTGGTCCCACGTGTTGTATGGGTCACTCGGCATCCTAGACAGGCTTCCCTTGGGGACGTGCGTTGCCCTGATCCAGTCAGTTGTGACAGAAGCCACAGGCCTCGGGACACAAAATCTAGCAGCTCATGTAACTACAATTCTATCCCTTCTGAGATAGTTCTTCCTAATTCCAGGCCCCTTCTGTTTAGTGGGTACAGCATGGATCCCTCTGGAGCAGACTGTAGAACACACCCACCTTCATTACCTGTGGAGCGTGGTGGGTACTTCTCCTAGGTCTTCTCTTGGGATGAAGATGACAATGACAAACCCTAATACACATCCATGCCCAGCACTTGGTCACTTACATGACATTGGATTCACAGTCAACTCCCAATCACCCCTTTTGGTAATCCACAGCCTTGGTATGGGGAGGCCATGTCCCAGAGAAAGACTGTCATGTCTTACCCACCCTTGCCTAAGGATACAGGGTTTTCCTCTGTCCTCTGAAGACACAAAGAGCTCAAGGGCCCTGGGAACAGAGACAAGCAATTTCTCACTGGCACAGTAGGAAAAAAAAATGCACTCCTGGACACTGGCTGGCATCATAGGAGTCTTTTCTGATGGTGTCCTGAGAAGGCCACACCAGTCGAGGGGTCATGAGCACCCAGAAGTGGCCCCATCACCACCACGACCAGTGTCACCAGGCTGGGGACAAGACAGAGCTCAGTGCCCGCTCATCACCCAGCCCCTCTGAAGCCAGAACAGTGGTTCCTTAAGCAAAGATCACTCAGGGGCTGTGGGTCCCCCAAATACTAAAAGTACAAGATGCCGGCCATCTGGGAGTATAAATAGACTACTGTGGGACTCCAAAATCCTGATGTCCAGCTGACTGGATGGACTGCGTACACAGACACGTGGGGGGAACCTATCCAGGTGCAGATTGTCATTATCCTTTTGTTCCCCATCTCTGACCATCCCACTGCCTCTCTCATTATTCCCTCAGACTTTGGCAAGCTGTCCTCTAGTTCTCCATCTCTGATCATCTGTTCCCTCTCTCAATGCGTCCTTAGACTTTGGCAAGCTGTCATTCATCACCTTCAAACCTACTGTTCAGTTTTGAACCGTCTGAGTTTAGCATGTGTGGAGGCTGTGGCCCTTTACTCCTTCACACTTTGGGGCATCTTTCAAACCAAAGTTTGCTGTCTTACCTTTGACCTGATGCTCTCAGCTAGCTTTGTCCATCACCCGCTTTGTACTAGTTAGTGCTCTTTATAGCAGGGCTTCCTGGTGGCCAGGATCCCAGAATCCCTTTAGGCGTCCCCTCTCTAGTCTGTTAATCAATACAGTTCC